TCTGTTTCATGTTTGATTAATCTACATTATCGATCAAGTGATCGATAATTCTCAGTAAACTTCTCTAACCTCTACGTTAACAATGATCGATCATTTTATCAATCAGTCGATTATCGAACAGCTTATCGATCAAAATATCAGTTATGTTGCTTGTTTACACTATCAATTTATCTTACAGCTTATCGATAAACACTTGATCGATCAAATGATCGATCAACACACTGAACCACTTTTATCTTACTTTGTTATCATCAAAACCAGAATCCTAACAGGACATGCAAAGTATTCTTATTATTAGTAGCACAATAGGAGCATTTTGGTGAATCTGAGGTCCATGCACTCCTCCACACTTTAGTAGCAAGTCTATTATTAAAAGCCTTCCAAAGGAAAACTCTTATTCTCTCAACAACTCCCCACCTCCAAGTCAATTTGTAAGTTGAATGATACATATCTGTTGGCTTTTGTTGAAGAAGAGAGTAAGCACTTTTGATAGAATAAATACCATGCGTAAAAGCTTTCCAAGAAACAAAATGATTCCTAGCAGAGTCCATGGGGAGAAGAATAGAAATCAATCTTTAGGTCACTTCCTCTGAAACTATCGTACATAATCTTATAGATCCCAATAATGATGTCAGGTCCAATCCGCAACTACTCTTTGTTCCTCTTCTACTGAAATAGGTCTTATGCATTATTTCTTGATATTTTTATAAGGAAATAACTAGCAATCTATAATGAATTTAACTGATTTTTTGTCTCGCACATGCCACTGTGTTCCTTTATCTGGTAGATCTCTGCTTCGCAAATGGAATGCCATAGTTTAGAATCACCTCTTTAGCAGAAAGTAGATTATCTTCATTACTCAACAAATAGCATTGATCTAGGACATCAGCCCATAACTCAGATTCTCCAATGATTAATCTTCAAGCTAGTTTAGACTCACAAGCCATGTTCACAAAAGTTCTCTGGAGGGATATATAGAGGGATTTTTAAGGACTAAATTGCAAAAAAAAGTTTTTTTGGGACTTAGAAAGTCTCGAGGCTCACAAATGACAAATGGAGATGAATTAGGCTAAAGTTGATGTTAGAGACCTAAATGAGGTGAATTAAAAGGGATTTAAGGAAGGATGTTTTATTTTGTATCAGTGCAAAAGTTCTGGCATTTGGTAAATTACTCTGCTTAAGTAGAAATGTCTGTAAGAGAAATACTCTGATACTAGGGCTTTCAAAGCCCTACAAACTTACCTACAATTTAATGACCCCTTTATTAGTCCAAAGAGATTATAGCTAAGTTTCTAGGGCTTTGAAACCAATGTGATAGTTTAGTAACCTCACAATTACTGCCTTCTTACACGCTCTATATTATCTTTTTTTAAGTCTACCAGAGAACTGAAAGATTGGGAAGTTTCTCCTCGAGTCTTCTCTAATCTGCACCAAAGGTTCCTTTCTTCCATTCTCCATATCAGTCATAAAGTCATCCATGGTTGAGTCATACTCATCATTGATTCCCTTACCGTCTTCATTTTCATTTTACTTATTTGCACCTTTAAGCAAATAAGCAAAAGAAGGCCTTGTTCTTTTGTTAAAGCCCTCTTTCTCTCCCTATTCTGGCCAAGCATTCAAACATGCTCCTTTTCCTCCTTTCATGTCTATGTTTTTAATCTTTTTTTAACTTATTGATAGCAAATCATCCTCCTCAGAAGAAGATGGTAAGACACTAGCAGCTGTCTTCCCAGGGAGCACGAGAGCCATGAGTAGTCAAATGAGGATGGAGGATGTCAAAAGGGACATGGCAGGAGAGGTAGGGTAGAGGAGGAGGGAATGGATGATATGTGGGTAATGTTCTCTAGTGCTTCACAATTGTGAGGCTGCCAGAGATAGAAGAAAGTGATGGTAGAGAAGAATAATTACATTCTTAGCTTAAATAAATGGTGACACAACATTGTGACCTTTATAGTTTAAGCATAACCTTCAGGAGGATAAAAACAAAATGGATGGTTTGACTTAACACCGCTTATTTTCTTAACTGATGTATATAAGTCATGTTTACATCTAACCATTGAAAAGCAATTCAATTGTTCAATTCAAACTCAAACTTTTGTACACAAGTTATTTCAATTATAAAAATTTATTATAATTAATAATCTCTAACACACTCTAATGCAATAGCCTTTCAAGATTGGTGGTATTTTAATATTTTTATTAAAATCATATGGTATTTGGTGAACTTTTGATATAAGTTCATGGATATTTTTGATCATTAATCTTTCCATTTTAATAGGGTGTATTTTGGTAGTTTCATTAAAAATATCATGGGTCCTACTGGCAATTCTAATAGACATTTGTGTATTTTAATGGTGTTGGTATTATTGGGCTCTTTTTAGGCTTGGATTGGTGGATTTGAATCCAAAGAAAGTTCATGGTGTTGGGTAAACTTTGGTATATTGTCATGGATATTTTTTTATCCTTAGCTCAAATGAACCCAAATTTCATGGGCAAAAAAGTATATTAACCCTTTGAAATTTTAATATCATCATTTTTTAATAGTGTTAAGGTTAAAATACTAAAAAGACACTTTATAAAATTAAGGGATCAATATAAAACATTGTATAAAGTTAAAAGATTAAAAGTACGGTTAAGGTGCACCCAATTCCTGAATTACTTTTTAAGGTGGACCCAACCTTCAAAAAAGTTTTAAAATCTTTAGACCTTTTAAGGATATTAAGCGTCCATTTAGATTGACAATAAAATAAGTAATTTATTTTCAATTTAGCTTTTAAAAAAATTAAATTGGGTAAATTAATTTATGTTTTGTTACCCAAAAAAAAGTGATTTATATTTGAATTGAGTCTAATAAAAATTAGTTTGTAAAAGCAGAAAAGTTGTTTGGATTGGTTTTGTAAATAATAAGTCAGTTTATAAAAGTAAAAGTGTTTGAATCATTATTTTAAAAAAGGTTTAGTTGTAAAATAATTGAAAAGAACATAAATTTTATTAAATAATACTCATTTTAGTTTAAAATACAAGCATCAAATAACTAAATCACACAACTCAAAAAATTAAAACATATTTAATGATTTAACCAACATTCCTTATTTTGTGAAAAAGTTTAACTAACATTTTATATTATGGATTAAAAAAACTACTCATCAGGTCCTTTTTATAAATCACTTTCAATATATTTCACATAAACTAAGAAATTTCTTAAACTTTATTAACTCTTATTTAAAATTCAACAATTTTTCAATCCTTATTTAATATAAATTATACATCATGAAAACAAAGTTAAAATAATAATAAATGAAGCGCTTATAAAAAAAATAATAAATGAAACATAAAATTGTACATTTAAAGAAAATTTTCTCTTCGCCTTATAAATAAGACAATTTTTTTTCTTTGTCTTATAAATAGGACATTAGGAGTAACATTTAATTCATTCTCTCTTAATGGTTTAACTTTTCTCTTCATGGTAGTAAATTTTTTAAAGGTATGAACCACATTTTTTCCCCCTCACCACAAGCATCAAATTTTGACTTTTGACTTAATCCTGCGTTTTTTTATATAAGCTCTTAATATTTTAAGTTATTCCAAACATAATCATGCCATCACTCCAAACAGACACTAAATGGGTCACCGGTGGTCATTAAATGGTTACAACTATTTTAAGTGACTCTGAAGTAAAGTATCATGAACTGCATGAAAAAAATTGTTGGGTTCTAATATGGGAAGGCACTTGTCACCATATTAATTTATGAACCTAATTATTTAATCCGTATGGGATGATTTATAATTGGAGTTACACGTCACAAAAACACATTTTTATCGGCCATATGTATGCCTTTTTCCAACGCGGCTTTTCTCCTTTACCCTTATCATCTGGTGCTGTCTTCTACCTCTAAGCTACGTCGTTTTGAGTGAAAATGAGAGAGGGTGAATCCTTTTTTTTTTTTTTTTTTTAATATCCAGCACCGTGCAATATTTTTTTTCAGTGTCATTCAATATCATACTGTCATAAATTAGTTATTAGTGCAATCAGCATTTTAAAATATTTTTCTTGTGACACCCACTTAACCCTCGTTACTCTGAATTATTTTCTAGTGGTATCCAGTAACCTAATTATGTTTCAGTTATATCCAGTATCTGGTATCTATCACATTGAGGTATTTTTTTTAGTAGTACACAGTATCCTAAACTAATTTTTAGTGCATTTAGTACACTAAAATATTTTTTAGTAATACTTAATATCTTAATATAATTTTTGGTTCAATATTTTAGGATGTTGGATATATTAAAATTTAGTTTAAACTGCTCGATATTACTAAAAAAAAATACTCTAGCATGCTGGATGCCAGATAGTGGGTGTTATTGAAAAATATTTTAATACATATTGTGGACCAAAAATCATTTTAAAATACTGATGCTACTGAAAAATATTTTAGGGTGTCGGATATTAGATAATAGGTGCTACTAGAAAAATATTTCTGGATACTGAATGTACTGATAATTAATTTCGGATATTGAATGACACTGAAAACTATTTTAGGGTACTAAATAGTTTTTTGAAAAATTCAAAAGAGCATTCATCCTCTCTCATTTTCACTCAAAACGACGTAGCTTGGAGGTAGAGGACAACAGCGGGTGATATGAGTAGAGGAGAGAAGCCCCGTCCGTCTTTTCTCTTCTCTCTGGATTCTTTTTTTTTTCTTTTTCCTTTTCATTTTCAGTTTATCTCACTCTTTCTCTGTTGATCAAATTAGCTGAGATGATGCAGTCCTTATCAAATTACAAGGGTTCATACTATCATGCAATATCATAGGTGACAACACAAACACAACTATAAATATATATATATATATATATATATATTATGACATGATTATTTCCAGTCTACCTGAAATCGCACTGTGCAGAGTATCATGCAAACTATTACTTCCAGTCTGGAACTCTCTATATATAAACATAAAATAAGATTTTTTACTCATGCTAAAAATCATAGGTGACAACACAAACACAATCTGGTATCCTAAGCCAGGCTATTTTTTAGACACAACACGGACTTAAACTAATTTAACATTCTCACACATCGAACTCGAGACCTGTAGTTAAACTAGAACAGGCCTGACCAGCTGATCTAATCGTTGGGGTTATAAGCCACAGCACTTTGATCTCATAAACTATTCTATAGAACGCAACCAGGTATACCAGCACTTGACCTTCTTTAGTAAATCTAACATAAAGTTATGTAGCTAATAAGCACTGCAATCTATTAACAGAGTGACCCTTTGACATAAACAGAAGAAAGCACGTTGGTATATGGGACACGCACGTGCATGATACATATACGATATATATATATATATATATATTTATGTATATAGGAAGTTTGATTCAAACCTTCTATTCTGGACTATCACTGATAAAACTAGACAGCCAGAATAAGGCCAGGGACAGACTCATCACAAAGTTTGCTCTGCCAAATGCATTGACACGTGGAAGAAACAACGGAGGAGGAGGAAGAGGAGGAGGAGGATGGCGATGATGACGGAGAGGCGGAGCTGCCTCCAATCCCGAGCTGCTCCGACTCTCCGATACCGAGCCGCGTGACGGTGAGGGAAGTATTCAGATACTCCCTGACCTGAGTGATTACCCCATCAGTGAGAGTCCAAGCGTGGACCCACCACACCAGATTGGCTTCGTCGAATCCTTCAGCAATCACCACCGACCCAAACCCTACCACCACATCAGGAACCAAAACGACGACGGATTGCTTTGCTTCCTCCTTCCCGGCGAGAAGAGGAAGCAGATGGTGACGATGGCTTGGAGGGCCATGGAACCACCATTCCAAGTCAGAAGCTAGAAGACGGTGGAGAGCATGGGTCTCTCTGGCGATTAGGGCTCTGTATAACTCAGTGACAACCCTTTTGTTTCTCTCCTCTTCCTCTTGAAGCCATGGCTCTGAGTTTGCCAGCTCGAACTATATGGGTTTTTTCGGCCTCAAGAGCTATATGGGTCTGTGAGAAACTTGGAATGCAAGTGAATGTGATGTGTGGGATGCTTTATATTGGAATTGATCAGTAGTGGAGGAGAGAAAATGTTTGCCTGAAATGGACGGTGAGGGACCTACGTGATAAGATTTTAGATTATTTGCAAACCACTAATGGCTGCATGCCTGCAATATTATACGTATTTTTGTAAAGTTATTGTATCACGGGGTGTGTGAGGGTATATAAAGGTAAAAAAGTTTGTATTTGGATGTTAGAAACAACATCATTTTCAAACGGTAGAATTGTATAATCAAAAGCTGTTAATTTTCCTCCACAAAGTACTTCCAAAACTCATCAGCCTTGCGATTTTCATCTTCTAATTGAGCGTTCACGATTCTCAATTCTAGCAATAGTATTCATACTTATCAGATAGTACCTTGATCTCAACCTTCAATTTGGTTTTGTTCCCAACCAGGTCCCTCATATGAACATAATCAACCATATGAAATGCAGTTCACAGATTCAAAGTCAACTCTATTATGCTAATTAGCTTCATTAAATAAGAATCTTCCCCTTGCCGTCCAAAGCAACTAGTGGGGCAAGCCATATTTCATTTTAATGCTAGAAGGATTGAGACGGAAAGGATCAGTGAACCTAGCTTAACCTAATAGTCGTTGCCTTCGACTTTAGCTCTGCTTGCGAAAGGAATCAAGAATCAGAGCATGTGAGTGTTGATGCTTCAGTTACAACCAAGGGACCCAATACTTTAAAAAAATCATCTAACCCCTCTAGGGACGGTAAGAAGAAAGCAAGCGAGCAAAAAGAAACATAAAAAAAAATGGTGGAAGCTTAAAAAAAACCTAAAGAAGAATGGGTAAGGAAATGAAGAAGACAATGGACTCGTAAGTGTCTCTTTGTAAAAGATTGAATTGTTTGATTAGATTTGTATATTTGCGATTATGTTACAAATTAATTGCAAGATTGTTGGAATTTTTGAGAATATTGAATTGTTAAATTAGAAAACTGGAATTACATTGATTGCAATTGGAATTTTTGGACTGTCTATTGAATTTATATTACATTTGGATTTTAAAATGTTTAGAAGGGGTGTTAGGGAAAGAAAAGCATATATAATAAAAATAATCCACTTTTTAGACCAGTTAAGGTAATAACCGGTCTAGACCCATTGTACAATTCTATAACCAGTTATAAAGCATAAGACTTTCTGAAGAGGCCTCATCTAAATAATTCTAGGTCTAATCTAGAAGGTCATTTCTAACCAGTCTATATAAACATTTTGTACTAGCTAGTGGAGTATCAATAATATAACTTATATATTTTTTCAGAATAAATTTTGATTTTTAAATTATTAATTATCACTTTATGCTATGAATTGAGAATTTCAAATATCATTTTCCCCATGCTGTGTTTTCCACTTGACAAACCTCATTACACCATGAAATCTAGGAGTTTAAAGTCTTGAGATGATGCATTTGATTATTTGATGCCAATATTAGGATGGACAAACCTCTATGCTTGATGTATTTTTTTCAATTAAACTAAGATAAGTGGATTTTAAAAATCATTAAATTATTAATAATTAATAAGTGCTAGTTACGATAAATTATGGAACAAAATACCTCAATGCTAATTTAAAGACCTACCTTTTGTTTAATGTTGTTGGGTTCAACCAGGGAAGGTAGTTTTTTTGCCACCATAATTTTTAAGAAATAATTATTACTTAATTCGATTGCATGCATAATTGGACTCATAGGTCACAAAACACATAATTAATTAGTGGCCATGCGTCTTTCCCCATTTGACTTTTTCTTCGGATAATATAAAAATTGTTTCCATATATTGTCTCTTTTACTTTTGCTTTTTGCCACCTCCATAGATATTATGATAAAATATAATTACGTAAATGAATGGTAAAATCACAAACTTTTTCTATTATATTTTATTTCCCCATTTGCATATCTTTTTCATATTTTGAACTTCCAACACTAACATTTGTCTTCTTTAGTAGCCTTGTGGGTTGCACCAGTTAGAATTTTAATGTCCCAAGGTTCTAATCCTACCATATGGCCTAGACATGAAAAGACAATAAAGTATGTACATTAAACACTCAAGTGATTATTATCATTTCTTCAATTCATTAATATATGTTTTTTAACTTTTTAAAGTGCCCAAAACAAAGGCCAAATTGGGTGGAATGTGGATATTCACTTTATATAAAGGCTAGTTAATATATGTATACATGTTATTAAGCTTCACTTTGTATATAATAACGAATTTTAATCAACTAATTTTTCTTGGTCATTTTTATATATGATGCTCAAATAAATACGATGTTGTGGAATAGTGTTGTCAATACATGTTCCAAGTCTGACTTTGCAAAATGCGGCCAATCGCCAATAAGTAGCACTATATTTTAATTTCTAAATAGGGCCTTCATCAATGTAGGATTAGCGTATAAGTTTCAAGAATTCTGTATAAACTAAGAATTGAACCCTTGTAATTGGAATTGTTGCTTTTGTCGCAAGATTTGAACTTTGTAACTTGTTACTTTGGAATGAATTGAAATTAGTCATTGACAGTCATTTTTGGCAGCTATTCTTTATAGGGAAAATTAGATAAAAATCTCCCTCTCACAAATTAATTAGGAAATAGGACCTATGATAAATGTAAAGGTGTGGGCCCTTTAAGTATCAATGTCATACAATAAAGACTATATTACCCAAATGGATGCTAATTGCATATGACAAATCCTAACTTGCATGGCATGGAATTATCATTTACATGTGATGGATCTTCAATTGCATATGATGAAAGTTCATTTGCATATATGAATCATTGCGTACAACTTATGCTTACTTGCATATAGATTTATTGTGTAATATGAATGCTAATTGCATACAATGGTTGCTCACTTTCATATGACGACACTACTAGAAAAAAAACTTTTAACGCCACCAAATAATAGCGGTTAATAAGAAAAATGACGTGGAAAAAAAGATTGTGGTATTTTTGTAAATAAGTTGATTAAGTGTTGATTTTCCACGGCATTATTAAGAAAATTGCCGTAGAAAGTATTTTTAACGGCGGTTATTTATTTTTAACGGTAGTTATTTAAATAACCATCGTGGAAAGTTTTAAAATAACCCTACGCGGCCCGTTTGTTTTCTCTCATTTTCACTTTTGTTTCAGTGCGCCATGGTCCCCCTCTGTTCCACCACCAAAAAACTTCCATTACTAGCCATTCCCCCACTCCCCTACCGTTTAAACTCCTCCATTTAGCTTGTGGTGTCTTGTCATCGTCCGCCGCCGTTTGAACACCCCTCTTTTCACATTTGAATCATCTCTACTCTGTGAGTACCCTCTTCTTTCATTCTTTTCAATTTTTCTTGGTTTCTTAAATGTTTTGACCATAAAAATCTATTGTATTTCAAATGGGTTTGTTAGTTTTACATTGTGGTTGGCTTGTATTGTTGATTTTGTGTTTTTTATGTGCTTGAACCGTTGATTGGTGGGCATTTGGTGTGAGAAAACATCAATTCCTTCCTATATACTGTATTAGAAATATGTTTAAATGTTTGAAGTTGATTAGTTTTGAGGTTTTTGATTTTTTTTATAATTTTTTGATATTTATTTCGAATTTTTGGTATTTTTTTGTAATAAATTTGAGAATTTAATAATAAATAATCTGTTTGGTATTTTGTAACTTTTTTTTCGTTATAGACTTTGATTGATAGTAAAGTGTTGTTTAAAATTTCATTGCAAATGGATATCATTTGTGTTCCCGTTTTGAATTCAGAAGTTTTAGCTTTAAGAATCTTTATTTATTGAATTGGTTTAAAATTAAATTTTTATTTTGTTTTATTTGTTATATTTCTTCAAATTTATCATGTTGAAATATGTTATGAAGAATAGTTTTCTTGTTGATTAAAAGAATTTTTGTTTAACTATTTCACAAAACTTATATATGTTTGTTTGATTTTTTTATTTTATTAACATTTCGTTCATTCACTATATATACTAATTTTTAAGAAATTAATTAATCTAATTTTTAAAAATAATTATATATTTTACTTTTTTATTATAATATATTTAATAAGATAAATAGGAGTTGAGAAAACTTTAATTTTGATTAAAAATTTTGAGTTTTTTTTTCTAATTGGTGTTTAATTTGTACATAGTTAAGAGAAATTTTGTCAAATTTTTTTATTTTTAAAAAAGAGACATTCCCTTTAATTTGTAATTAAGTGTTAGTCAATTTTAATTTATTGACTAACATTTAATGATTTTATTATTTCAATATTTGAATTAAAGAATTAGAATTGAACTTGACAACTATGTTCATTGACTCTATAGAACAATAAATCGTAGTTGGATGAAAGCTAAGAGAATTAACAAGGAATATGAGGATGAGGTTGAAAATTTCTTGAGTTTGCTCAAAGAAATGCCCCTAGTAAAAGAAATGGATTGTACTCTTATCCTTGTGTCAAATCTTTAAATAATAGTTAATGGAGTATTTATGAGATAAAAGAGCATCTTATCTGTGATGAGATAAATTTGAGGTATACAAATTGGATATGACATAGAGAAATTAGAAAGACTACACTGTCTGTGAAGGAGAAGGTTGTGAATGAAGACTTTGGTGATAGAATTTTGGATATGTTTCGTGATATAAGGTATGAATCCTCTACACAGTTCTCTCCTACTTTTGAAACTTTGTGTAGTGATGCAGAGACGCCTTTATACCTAAGGTGGATTTGAAATATGAGAAGATACATGCGTGTCCTAATAACTGCATATTATTCAGAAATGATTATCAAGTGTTGAATAAGTGCCCTAAATGTGGGACTTCAAGATACAAAGTGAAGAAAGATGATGGTGATTATAATAAGATGACCAAAGACTCTCCTTTAAAGGTTTGTGGTATCTTCCAATAATACCATAATTTAAGCATCTATTTGCTAATGTCACAGATGCAAAAAACTTGAGATGGCATTTCAATGAGAAAATATGTGATGGAAAGTTTCATCACCTAGCAAATTCTCCTCAATGAAAAATAGTAGATCAAAAAAATTTTCAATTTGGTGGCGAGCCAAGAAACCTTCAGCTAGGGCTTTGCACGGACAGAATTAACCCATATGGTAATCTTAGTAGCACACATAGTGCTTGGCCAGTGCTCCTCGTAATTTACAACTTGCCTCCTTGGTTATGTATGAAAAGAAAGTATATCATGCTATCTTTGATGATCTTAGGGCAAAACAACTAAGAAACAATATCGATGTGTATTTGACACCTTTGATTGAGGATCTGAAGAAATTATGGGAGGAAGATGTTGATGTGTTTGATACATATAAACAAGAGACCTTCAATTTACATGCCATGATCTTCACCATGATAAATGACTTTCCGGCATATGAAAATTTGTCAGGATACAATGTTAAGGGGCATAAAGCATATCCAATATGCGAAGAAGGCACCCACTATATGCAACTTAAACATGGTAGGAAGACGGTATACCTTAGTCACAAAAGGTTTCTTAGTCGGTATCACCCTTACTGTAGATTGAAAAAGGTATTTAACGGCTCACAAGAATATGAAATGGCGCCAAGACCATTAACCGGAGAAGAAGTTTATCAGCGAGTAGAGGGAATTAATGTGGTCTTCGGTAAAAAGAAGAAGAAGATTGCCGGTGAAAGGAATATATGGAAAAAAAGATCTATCTTTTTTTATCTTCCATATCAGCAAAGTCTTGATGTGAGGCATAGTCTAGATGTAATGCATGTGCAGGAGAATGTGTGTGAAAGCCTTATTGGTACACTTTTGCATATAAGTAGAAAGACTAAGGATGGAATCAATGCAAGACGAGACTTAGTCGAAATTGGAATAAGAAATGTCCTCCACCCACAAGAAAGAGATAACAAGAGGGCTTATTTACACCCAACTGTGCACATACTATCAAAAGAAGAGAAAAGAAGTTTCTGTGGTTTTTTTAATAGTATTAAGGTGCCACAAGGTTATTCTTCTAATTTAAGCAAACTTGTTTCAATGCAAGATTTGAAGATAACGAGAATGAAATCTCATGATTGTCACGTGTTGATACAACAATTACTTCCACTTGCTATTCAAGGCATTATGAAAACCGATGTGAGAAATACTATTATAACACTTTGTATATTTTTTAGTGCCATTTGCAGCAAAGTCATTGAGCCTGCTAAGTTGGATGAATTAAAAAATGAAGGTTATGTGATCCTCTCCCAATTAGAAATGCATTTTCCTCCATCATTTTTCGATATTATGGTACACTTGATAGCTCATATTGTGCGAGAGATAAGACTTTGTGGCCCTATGTGTTTAAGATGGATGTACCCTTTTGAGAGATACATGAAAATCCTAAAAAGGTACTATAAGAATCCTTATCGGCTTGAGGCATCAATTGTTGAGAGATATGTAGCTGAGAAGGCAATTGAGTTTTGTAACACATATCTTGATAGGGTAAAGGCAGTTGGTCTTCCTCAATCTCGACATGATCAGGAGAGAAGCAAGGGAACACAGGGTGTCATAGTGAGGTCTATATCAAGAGAAGTTATAATGCAGGCACATCTATACATTTTAAACAACACAGATGAAGTTTTGCCTTACTTGAATGCTCACAAGAATATGCTGAAGAACTTGAATTTAAGAAAGAACGATATGCAACTAGCTAATGAACATAATAAGTCATTTGCAGAGTGCTTCAAGCAAGAAGTGTTAAAAGATGGCAATCCTTTTGAGACAATACAGAGGCTAGCTGCAGGGCCTTCTTTTGAGGTTTTGTGTTGGGGCGGATATGACATAAATAGTTATTCATTTTAAACAAAAATCCAAGACAATAAGAGTACCATGCAGAATAGTGGGGTGATGGTAGTAGCGAAAGCTATACATTTTGCTAGTTCTAAAGATAGAAACCCAACGTTAGCGGCAATATCCTATTATGGAATAATAGAAGAGATATGGGAGGTTAGTTATACCAAGTTTAAAGTTCCCGTCTTCAAATGTAAGTGGGTTAATAGTAATGCTGTCTATGCAAGTGGATAAAGAATTTGGATTTGTTTCGGTCGATCTTGACAAGTTTGGATATGGAGACGAGCCATTTATTTTGTCAAGTCAAGCAAAACAAGTGTTTTTGGTTCCCGATCTAGCAAAAAAGAAATTGTCTATCGTGCTTCAAGGTAAGAGGCGAGGAGTTGGCAGAGATGATAGTGACTTAGAGTTTAATCTTGATAAAACCCTACCTTTCACAGCTATTTGACCTAAAACAATTGAATTAGATTTGGTAGATGATGACTATGTTGTTAGAGATGATCATTGTGAAGGAATTTGGGAGGATAATCATTGTAAGGCTTAAATGAATTATTTGATGTTTTTTTGTTAAATATACTTAATAATGTTTTATATTAACTTGATAGTTTCTTATTCTTACATTCATTAATTCGTTGTTCTTCAAACAGGAAATGGATGGATCCGGTCAACAGAGTTCGGGCAACGACAGCTCTTTTATTAGCCAAAGAAAGGGTAGAAGGCCAACTCATATGAGGCATTTGACTTTACGTGATGAGACCACACAACCTATGAGGATTACAGTGGAGTTTGATGATGATTTGAAGCCTATAGGAAAGACTGGGGCTCAATTTACTAGTTATGTGGGTTATGTCGCACGCAGTAAGATTGTGATTGACATTCCTAGCTAGAAGAAGGTGGATAAAGATTTGAAAAAAAACATTTGGGAGGATATCTTGGTACATTATGAATTGTTTTCTCTACTTGTTTCAATTATAATTGCTTATTTACTCTACGCTATTGTATTGCAGTTGGCATTTGATATTCTCGCCACTGAGCAAATGAGAGACTGTTTGTTTAAGCAACTTGATGAAGAGTGGAGGGATTTTAAATCCACACTTACAAAACATTATATTCGTGAAAAAAGAAAGGGTGAGCATCCTAAAGAATGATACCCATTTATTAGTGACGAGGTATGGGAGAGTTTTGTGAAGCAATGTGAAGACCCTACATTTCAGTTTGGTTTCTTCAAACTTAATTTTTAATCAAATCATATTTTATTTAACTAAACTAACTTTGTCGAATTTGTTTCATTGTCATAGGCATTGAGTCAGAAGAATAAACAAATATCTAAGCAGAATGTGTACCCACATACCATGTCTCGTGCAGGGTATAGTAGGTTGGAAAGAAGTATGATGGAGGAGCAGATGAAGAATGCACAGATGCTGCTGCTTCATATCCTACTGGCTACATTTCACCCATTGAGTATCCTTCTCGTCAAGAAAAATGGAAGGCGGTGAGGATTAAAAAGGGTTAATACATTACTCCACAGTCTGCTACTATTACTGAGAGGATTTTAAGTAATATTTAAGAATTATGCTTCATTAATTGCTTTTTTCAATTTTCTTAAATTGAATTTGTTGCTTTAATGTTATAAGATACACTTGAGGAGCAATTATCCCAAGGTATATTCGTCCCTCAATGACGGATGGATATCTTAGCCACTGCCATTGGAAAGGCTGACCATCCTGGCAAAGTCAGAGGGACCCCTAAAGGGATTAGTATTAAAGAATTTTTTGGCTCTGCTTCACGAAGAAGCACTAGATTATCCTCCGCTAAAATGGTATCTAAAGAGGACCTTGACCAACGATTACAAGAAGAAACAGAGAGAATTCGAGCTGAACTTAGTCAACAACATATGGCAGAGATGCAAAAGATACATGACAAATTCGATGTCAAGTTTCAACAGGCTCTGATGATGATGGGCACGAGTAGATTCTAGATGCCACGAGTATTTGAACCTTCCTAGGTATTAATCACACATCTTTTCAAATCTTCTAAAGGTTCATTTAATCCATTTAAACTTATTTAATGTGCCTTAACTAATTTTATATTATGTTTCGGGGTTTATCTGCGATAAAAAGCAAAAAGGGCAGTAATAATTAGACATAGCAACTGATAGTATCTAACCCTGACCCTAGCCCTGACCCTGTCAAAGACAATGGAATGCTATGTACTCTCTATGTGGATTATGAAAATTCACCTGTTCATGTCACTATTGGTCGAGCATTCATGGGTATAACAATTCACGGCAACAAAATTCCTAGCAATCAAGAAAGGGTGATAGTAGAGAGGATTGTTCGTGGTCAGGGCGGTATACCAGTGCCCAATCCTACTAATAAGGTTCGACTCTTGGCCCAAGCTACAAGACATTTCATTTTATGGCCAAAAAGAATTATTGCAAAGCCAATGGTGAAGAAGGCAGTAGCGAAGAAGGCCACAAAGAGTGCATCATTAGATCCTGTACTCCTACTTCTTCCTGGTAATGTTGCGCTTATGTATTCCAGTTTGGAGGTTCTTCATTCCATAGTGCCAAACATGGATAAGCCTATTACTTTCAAGATGCCGCTAGGGATTGTGGGTTCAGATATAACATACGACTTCACCATTGACAAGAAGGACCTCGTTCAGTTCCTCAACTTTGAGGAGCTTGATATAGTCTTCATACAACTTGCTATTTTGTAAGTTACAATATCATTTTCTTATTTCATGTTATACTTTCTGCATGTCCTAATGTTTCTTATTTGAACAACAGGCATTTTACTCAAATCTGTCGGAACGGAGGACTTAAAGGAACATATGGTTTTATGTGTCCTCAAAGGGTGCACAAAGAGCTTAATACTGTGGAAGCGAGGTTGATCTACATGATGACCATAATGACTCAGACCAGAAAGCTAATATATTTTGTACCTTACGTGGAAGGGTAAGTGTATTATTGTATTTGAGATACATAAGTTGTATGTGTAGGATTATAATTAACGTGGTTTTTCTTTTGCAGTTATCATTAGACTCTAATTGTTTGTGCTCCTTTTGATAACAAATTTTACTAGTTCGATTCACTCTATGGAAGTCTATCCGAAGAAACCAAAGATGTCATCGACACGTTAGTTTATGTTTATATATTTATTACGTGTGAAGTTTATAAAAACATGCTCTAATATCATTTTCTTTTATACTATTGATAGGGCTTTTTATGATTTCAATGTTGTGGTGATTAAACAGAATAGACAACTACCAATATGGATTCTCCCAAAAGTATGTTGTTTTGAACTAAATATATACTTTTAAACATTTTTAGATGAATTAAAGTTAATGTTTATAATCAGTAATGTCTAATATTCAATTTTATATTTCATTTTGTTAATACCGTTGTCAACAAGGACATGTTGAATGTAGATATTATGTCATCCCCTATATGGATGACATCATTGAGACAAGAGTGATTGAGAAATTAGACGAGGTAAAGATAAGTTACGTTGCATGACATTCTTCAATTCATTTCACATTTTTGATTAAGTTTACTATGTTATTTTTTATTAACAAGTATTTCAAAATGTTGCGCCATACCCTATGGATGACCTCAACTTGATGAGAGACACTTTGTCAACAACATTGCTACAAAATGTTGAAACTTTCAAATAGTTAGGTCATTCCTCAAAAAATTCATTGTTAGATATTTTCTCTTAGTTCCCTCCTATATATGTTCATTATTTCTATTGTACAGACAGAAGTAGTTACTTTTCTTTCAAGATGCTGGTTCTCTTGGTTCCTATATGTGTTCTTTGGTCTTAGGTTCTCCTTAGTTCTATTTGTTCTCTATTTTTGCTTTGTGTAAAAGAAATTTTAGTGCTTGCTGCATATATTAACTAACTAGTTGATTACTTATTCATATGGTCTTGTATGTTTTGCGTATTCTGCACTGCCTACATTTATTTGGAACTGTAAACTACTGGGTGGTAAAAAAGAAAATCACGCAGAATTTAAAATAAATAAATAAATTTTAACGGTGGTTATTCAAATAACCGCTGTTAAAACCATTTTCCACGGAGCTTATGTAAAAAACCGTCATGGAAAGTTAACTTTCAACGGCGGTTTAAATTAAACCACCATTGAAATTTAACTTTCCACGGTAGTTTTTAATGTAACGGTCGTGGAAATCTAACTTTCCACGACGGTTTTTTAGTAACTGCTTTGGAATTCTAACTTTCCACGGCAGTTTTTTACATAATGGCCATGAAAAACCGCCGTGTTTTATAAACCTTTCAACGTCGACTGTATCAACATCGCTTCCAAAACCGCCTTGAAAAACCACTAATAATCACCATTAAAAGCCTTTTTTTTTTCTGGCAGTGCGAATGCTTATTTGCATATAATGGATCCCTATTTGCATATAAGTTTATTGCATAATATGAATACTCATTTGCCTATAACATGTGCTCACTTGCATATGATGGATCTCTACTTACATATGGATTTATTGTCTAATGTGGATACTCATTTGCATATAACAGATGCTCATTTGCATATGATGAATGCTCACTTACATATAACATATCCTTACTTGCATATGATCCTTATTGCATGTTAATTTTTAATGCAAATACTAATTGCATATGACTTATCCTTATTTCACTACCAAAAAAAAACAGGGGATTAGTGATGAAATTTAGCGACGAAATTTTCGTCGCTAATTCCTCACAAATTTTGTCACTAAATTAGCGATGGAATTTAGTAACGGAAAATTTATGTTGCTAAATTAGTGACGGATTAAATTCCGTCACTAAATTAACGACGAATTAGTGACAAAATTTTATTCTGTCACTAAATTCTGTCATAAGTTCGTCACTAATTCAGTTTTAAATGATTAGTGACAGAAAAACTCCATCACTAACTCCCTTTTCGTCACTAATTTTAGTCGCAATTCTGTCACTAATTTTGAACTTATTATTAAAATAAAAATATAATATATCATAATTTTTAAATAATATATTATATAAAATTAAAAAAATACAAATATTATAAAAGAAAATAAAAATACAAATATTATAAAAGAAAATAAAAATAAAAATATAAGATATACTTATTATTTAGTTAAATATTTGGATAAAAATATAATTATTAGAAATTTTTTACTAAAATATAAAAACTAAATTCAAATAAATAATAATATATATTAAATCATGTATATAATATTTATAATATATATTTGTATTTGTTATTAGAAATATTATAAGTTTTTTGCATAAAAATTTCGTAGGTGCTTCTCAGCTCAATTAGCAAAGGCTTCAGCATGCGTATAGAAGGTTTCAAGTTTGAACCAACACTTCTTCACAAATTGAGCCAGTTTGTGACGTGGTGATGATGTGCACAAGGCGATGACTTGGCAACTCATAATGATGGACACGTGGTGATGATGTGGATGCTGGGAATGACGTGGCCGCATGGGAGATGACGTGGACGTTGGGATGGAGTGGCTATGCGGTATTTTAAATTTACAAAATGAAAAAAATTTAGGGACGGATTAATGACAAAAATTTCTATAACCAATTTGTGACAGAATTTTTCATTACAAATCCGCCATTATTTTGTGATAGAATTTTTGTGAGTATCGGTTACTAATTAGCGATGAAAAATTTCCGTCGCTAATTTCTATTGCTAATCCGTCAGTAATTAGTAATAGAATTTTGAATTTCGTCACTAATTATTTAGTGATAGTGGAATTAATGATGAAAAAAATTCCATTGCTAATTTTGTCTCTAAGTAAATTCTATCACTAATTTTGATTAGTGATGAAAATTTTGCTGCTAATTTGATTTTTTTTTGGTAGTGTTTACATATAATGAATGCCTACTTGTATAAGAGTTCTTATATCATTGCATATAATGAATCTCATTGGATGAAATTTGCTATATGAATCACACGATACGATGCCATTAAGTAATATAAGGGGAACAGAATATAGTTATACCTGGATATATAGAAATGACGAAACGATATTTTCCATGAACGACATTTTCTACGGTAACGCGTTACTTAAATTAGTCAAGGGAAGCATCAGTATTGGAAAAAATGGGGTTTGATATTACAAGATTAATGCCCAATAAGGCTGGCAGGTTGGAGTTTCAGTTTGTTTACTAAAGAATTAGTTGTTAGAATCGCCACTACAAGTCATCACCGATAGTCTTTTTTTTAAAAAAAAAATAACGATTGGTTTATTTAAGTGAGTTCATAAACTCAAACTGATTAAAAAAACATTATGTTAAAAGAATGGCTTTTATTTAAGCCTAACAACATTGTATTGGATATTAGACAAAAAGGTGTCAATCCGTCTATTTACAGGTCAAATTTGATGTTAGGCTTGTCTAAATACAAGAAAATTCTGTACTCTATTTTTTTTTAATCACTCCACATAAAATATGGCTCACAAAAACAAAAAGAAACGAAAATGCTGGAAATAGGGCATTTGATATCAATTCAAAATAAAAGTATTCTTATAATATAAAATAAAATAGGTCATGTAGTGATGTGCGCATACTCATAAGTAGAGCTGTCAATAAAGGCCAGCCGGATCCTAAAAGACTAGCCCTTGAAGGGCCAGGGCCTAAAAGAGCCAGTCCTTTAAAGCTTACATGCTTTAAAATTATCTAATTATTAAAGTCCGGCTCTTGGACATGTGAGTTCATGACTTAAAAAAGTTAGTCATTTTATGTTATTTTTTAAAATTTAAATTATTTTCAATTATTTTAAAATAAAAAAATAAAACAACAAAACTTCTAAGATTTTTTATTTAAATTATAAATATAAGTAAAATAAACTAATGGCATATAGGAAAAAAATTAAATACCAATAAACTATTGTAAAAAAAAAATCAAAATCTAACAAAACACGAAAAATAGAAAGATAGAAACCTAGTAGCTAAATATTAACAACATCAACGTCATTATTATCTTTATCTTCATCTTCATTAGTATCACCAAGATCAACAATATTTGATTGTTCAAACTACAAGTGAGCTCTTCTTCAATGAAAAATATATTAAGACAAATAAGAGTTTGAATATTTGTTTGAATAAGAAAAGTTTTACACTTTGTTAAGATATGTAAACCGATGGTAAATGAAGATTTTATAGCTATTGTAGTCATTAGATTGTTAAGAATATGAGTTGTTATTTTTGAAAGAATTGAAAATTGATTTTAATTTTTCTTTCACAAGTCCAAGACATCTAATTCTTTTCGATTATCTGGCTTGAGTATTGATTCTTCTAAGTATTTTTCTAATTCAAACTTATTTGTAAAAGACTAATCCATATCTTTATAAATATATTGATAATAATAATAATAAAAAAGCAAGCTTAAAAAGGCTGGCCCTCGGTCCTAATGGGGCGACCTTTTTATTTTTGAGTTCTATAGGGCTAGCCTTTTTAAGCCCAATTTCTTTTTAAACTACCTAAAATACAAGCCCGGCTTTCCACTTAAAAAGGTTTAAAAGGGCTAGCCCGATAAACTTGGTCCGTTTTGACAGCTCTACTAACACATACATTACATTTTTTTCACATCAGAATTATTTGTATTTATATTTTTTTAATTTTTTGGTTAATATTTTTGTTATTTAAGAATGGCTTATCACGATAATACATGAGATGACTCTTTGCCCCTTGGTGTTCGACAAGGGACACTACTTAAATTGCGTTAATTAGAAGGGCCAAGTTTTCTGGAACTTCTTATATTATTTTTTTTTTATAAATATATATGTTTATATTTATGAGTGGACTTAATATACTCTTTTCAATGTTAAACTTGAAGGTCATTAACTGCACGAGTCATTTTTATTTATATATCCCTTCTAATAAAATAAGTATGTTTTGTTATGAATATAATAATATCTTTATGGATTTCCATATATCTCCCATTATCTCCTATATCTCTTAGAATCTCTGATGTCTCTTATTATCTCTATATCCCACAATTATTTCCTATTATTATGTAATCTATAGATTCTATCAAAGATATAAAGATATGCCTATAAATAGAGATCATGTATCATGTATTTAGTACCCTTGAATGGAATGAGAAATATTCTCTCTTTTTGCTCATATCTTCTTCTCTATTTATAACATGTTTAAATTTATAAGTGGACTTAATATCATTCAACTTTGATTCAAACTTGGGCCCACAATTTCTCTTAAATGTGAGTGAATCATAATCCACTTTATATTGAATCATTTTCGCCCTTAATGAGAAAAATTTATATAA